AATATATAAAATTGTGAGCAAAAGCAGAAAATTGCTGAGGGAACAGATTTTTAAAGTAAATCATCTGCAGAACGAAAAACTTGACAAATTTGATTGCTGTCTTCTGACATTCCTTCAACAGAGACTTAAACATCCTTAAATGTTAAAATAATTGAGACAGCCATCTATGACTGTGATTCTTAAAGTCTTTTGTAGCAATTAAAAAATGGTAATCATCTTGAATAACATTTTATTGATGAATCAAATCACATTATATGTCTTGTAAACCTCATAGTCTCTTTAGTTTCTCTAGGGTTTCTCCAGGGAGATTCAGAGACATGGCTCAAGAGGACTTGGGTGACAATTCAGAGCTCTGATGAATTTTAATGTGCATTCTACTACATTATACAACATCTCATCCTTTTCAGCAGACAGATAAGGAGTAGGAGACAGGATTAGCATTACTTCTGTGGTTGTCTCAAGGAGGGACAAGATTCAGTGGTGAAAAGATTAGAATTTAGATGAATGCTAAGGTGGTTAGTATGGTATTTTAATATTTAATTTTTAAATCCAAAATTGTTTAGTGAAGGGTTTGCTCTAATCACCAGAAGAATTGAAGAATTTATAAAATTATATCTGCAGACACAGTGGGTCAGGAAAGATTAAACTCTTATACCCATGTTCTATTTCTGGCTTTGCCACCAAGCAATTCTGCAATCTTGAGATTACCTTGACCTTTTCCTTCATGTCTTCAAAAATCTGTTATTTTTCTTGAGGTGGTCCCTCAAGATGAAGAGGGAATTCGGCAATTATTTGGTGAGTTATATTGACAGCAGGAAAGGCAATTTCCTGGTCCATTCTAATAAGGTATACTAAAAGTGCTGTTCGTTTTGGTCAAGTTAGCTAGCTGCTTCTAAACAGATTTTTTTTTTTTCGCCCCATAGAGATGCAGCATGTGATGATGGAGGCTACGTTTCACCTGAGGTAGAGGAGAATTTTAAGGAAAGATGAAACAGTTCAACTCAGAGGTCTCACACCTACTCTGGAGGACACAGAAAGAAGAGAATTAGGAAAACAGATAAAGGACTTTTAGGTTATTTTCCAATGCCATTAAAATTCAGATAGTGACTTTTTTTTTTTGTAGAAATCAGTTAATGTTTTGTGTTTTTTTCCAACCAAACTCAGCCAGTGTTCTTTTTTTTAAATTTTTATTTTATATTGGAGTATAGTTGATTTACAATGTTATGTTAGTTTCAGGTGTACAGATAGTGACCTTTATAAAATGGTTTGAGAAGGAAAAGAAGTTACTATATCAGTGCAACATCTCACTAAGGGCAGAAAACAGTTTTCTATGTGAGAGGCTTTTTTCCTCTCCTTCACTTAACAAAAAGTACAGCAACTAGTGGCTGCCCTCATGGCTTACGTAAGCTCACTGATAGCTGCATAGCTACGGTGAAAACAGAAGCCTTGAACCAGGCAGGGTGGGTGCATCCACTCACATGTACTTGTGATTCCCTTTGATGTACCAGGCACTGTGTGCTAGGAACTGGGGATACAGTGTTAAGGTGGAACAAGCTGGAAACCTGGCGTGATGACTGTTGTGAAGTGGGATCAGTAGGATGATTTGGGAATGTAATTAGGAGCCTAATCTAGTTGGTGGGAGGCTCCGAGGGAAAGCCACTATGAAGAAGTGGTAGTTCAGCTGAGACTTGAAGGCTGAGTAGGAGTAAGCCAGGTGAAAGGGAGGCACATTAAGGAAGGAGAAACAACATGTGCAAAATACCTGAGTCAAATGAGAACCTTCCGTATTCAAGGAAACTGAAAAAAATGGACTGTGAACAGTAAAGGAGAGCGCCTCCTGAGATGGGCTAGCCAAGAAGGCAAGGCCGACTGAGATATCAGCTCCTTTCTTCCTTGACAGTGAAAAAGAAAGAAGTAGCAGTGGTGCAATTCTGGCTGTGGCTATTGCCCAGATTTGAGGTGTGCTGGTCTCAAAGGCCCCTTTCATACCTTATAGCTGAAATGTGATCATCAGATCTTCAACCCACTTATTACTTCTTCCACACAGCTAGATGTTAGGTTACCAGCTTTTTTCTCCAGCTTTACTGAGGTATAACGGGCAAAACCGTAGGATATTTAAAGCATACAACATAATGATTTGATATACATTGTGAATGGATGGCTAAAACTGAGTTTATTATTAACAAAAGATTAATAATAAACGCAAAGTTATCAGCTTTTAAATCTTAGGGCTAACAAACTCTTAACTCTACGTTTTGTCATAGGTGTTGAGTTGGTACTGGGTGCCTGAGGGGGCAGGGGCCCCTGAGATTTGTAGGGCCACTTTCCGTAGCCCTTTCAACCTTGCAGAATGTCTGCTATTACAGGAGTCAACATGACACTGTACAGCAGCTCTGCCCTGGCTCCAAAGACTGCAGCTTTTCTTTTTAGTTGATTCCCAGTGCTGCCTTCTTCCTTCCAGGCCCTGGTCTGAAGCTGTAGGGAAGTTGTGTATCTGCTTCTTCAATGAGATTCCCTTTCTGAGAATAGCATGGGCAAAATTTCTCTGCTACGTTTGTCATCTTCCCTTCTTTAATATCATTCATTGGCTACCCAAATTTGCCCACTTTGACATTCTCAACATCCCCCTTCACCCAAGAACAATAACTGCATTGAACAACAACAAGAAGAAGTAATGATAAAAAATAAAAACATAGCCTGAGTGATCCAATACAGAGACAATACAAGCCTTTGGGTGAATTTATACTAAAGTGTAAATGACTGAAACATGCATATCTTCTCCAGTCTCCCTTGTGAAAAGTACATTCTCTTGCATATTTTTATTTTAAAGAAGTTTGCCTATTAGCCTGAGGTTTTAATTAACCACTGAATCAAAATGAAGTCTTTCTAACTGCATAAAGTATTTTAGACCACAGGATCATTTTTTTCTGAAACCTTTGGCACCAGCAGGCAGCCACGGACACTGCCAAAAGGAATTAGACTCTGGACTGATTTTCATGTATTAGTTATTTTTACCCTCTTCAAAATCTATCAACTGTTCAAACCTGCATACACAAACAGGAACATTGGGGAGAAGAGTCCCAGAGGGTGGAAGATCCCCTACTCATCCCACGTGCCTCACCTCATGTCACACACTCCTCTCTCTCTCCCCTTGCTGGGGACCTACCCCAAGGCCATCCCAGCTGGTCTCAAGGCACTGACCGAGTCCTGCTTCACAGCCGCTGGAAGTGCCAACCCACTCGCGTCCCCAGACCCGATCCTTCCACGGGACACCCAGCTAGGGTCTACAGCGAGTGACCCTGCCGTGGGAGGCGCGGCCCCCCATCACCTGCCCAAGCCGGCGGAGCAGGGCCTGAAGCCCCGCGCGCTCAGCCAACCGCAGCTCCCCAGGCCGCTGTCCAGGACCCAACTCAGGCGAGCACAGGACCCCCTGTTTGGGGTTATTTGTTCGCCTCCCTCCTGGTTCCTGCTCCCAAACCTTCCACCCAGCAGCCGCCGCCAGCGCACCCGAACCGCAGGAAAGTTGCTCTCTAGCTGTGGAGGGGAGTCATCGCCTCCTAGCAACGCTCCTAGCAACCGGTAACATCTGCTCCCTCTGGTCCAATGCGAGCCGAGAACAGCTGCGCGCCCGCCTCGCGTCGCGAACCCTGAGCGAGAGGAGCTTCAGAGACTGGAGGGACGGACCTGCAGGAGCCAGGGCAGCCCGCCGAGCTGCAGTTGCCGCTGCTGCCACTGTCGCGCCGCCGCCGCCGCCGTCGCTGTCAGCGCCCGTCTGAAGAGTGACAGCGCCGCAAAACGGGAGGGAGCACCGGATCCCGCGCCTTTATGAAACAGGTGCGTGCACCTGTCTCCTGGTGAGTGGACCCAGATCGCAAGGTACGTCTGGACTCATCCAGCCAGGTGCCCTCCTCTGAGACTCAGAAAAGACTCTTTCATTGAGGGTGTGGATAGGGACGTATTCTGGGATCCTACCCCGCCCCCAGCCATTGAAAAGTGGCTAGCTGGTGGTCCCAAAGAACATGATTTGATTTTTTTTTTTATTTAATCTTGGGGTTGTTCTTGCAGATTCTCCTGCCCGTCGCTGTTAGGTTTGTGCTCGGAAGTTTTCAGTCCTCCCTGTTTTCCCTTTGACTTCGCTGACTGTGTGCAGCTAGGAGGGCTGGAAGCAGTGAGCTCCCATAGAAAACCTATGGTTAAGGCGAAAAGGATAGTGTAGTCTCGACTAATTGAATCAACACGTACGGAGAGCAACATTCTTTTTAGGTCCTGCTCTGGAAAGGGTCCATTTGGCCGGGAGCAGCCAGTTCACTGTTACTCAATCTCCTGAAAAGTAACCATAGTAACTCACCTCTCTTTTGATGGGATCCTCCTCATTGGCTGCCTATCTTCCTTTGGAAAGCTCATCTCTCTAAATATAGAAGATGATGAGATCTGTAAGCATACATCCATGTTAAAAAAAAAAAAAAGGTGCAGTTAAATATGGCCCTTTAAAGAAAAACTGTCTTCAAAGAAAAAGTACTATTTGGCTATTTCAAATCTTGTGAGAAATAGTGTGTATCCCAGTGAACGATTGAGTTAGTCTGTTTTGGGTTAACTGCTGAATTGTTACTTTAGAGAGAATATTTCTTGAAATTATACAAAATCTGGCATTTAAAAACAAGTATATCTGACTCTGATTTTTTTTTAAAAAAATCAGCATACTGATAATGTCCCCCAAATAATCTCCTAGTAAATAGTTGATGAGATCTGTGATTCACTTATTTTCACATTTCTTAGGGTAGTTAAGATTCCTCATGTTCACAGTTAAATCTGGAGAACATTGAAGTAATTGTGTATGTTTGAAGGTTTATCTCTCTGGTTCAGATCAACTCCACCTCAAACATCTTAGTGTCCTCCTACTGCATGCCTTCTCCTGACTTGGTAACTAGTTCAAGTCAGTGCAGTTCTGACTCTTCCAATGTTATTTGTGTCTTGCTCCTTGTTTCAAAATCTCAGGTAGCCATTCATGAGCCCGAGGCTTTGAGAAATGCTCGCTGTGCAAAGGGGAACTCTCACCAGATTTTCTGAAGCTGTCCTAGAGATACACTTTTCAGATTGATTCAGCATTACCAGGTAATCACTAGCTTAAAAGAAATTACTGTTTAAATATGTATCCAGAGAAATAAATGCTAATGTAGCATTACCATAACTTACAAGATCAATATAAGGGATTGTTTATATAGGTGGTTGCTGGGCAGAAGTCAATAGAGGTTCTCTGTAGAAAGGACATTTGTAGGCTGGCAGATTTTCCTCTCTAAGACCCATGTGAATAGGGTGAGGTCAAATTAGGTAGCTTGGCTTGGGGAACATACCAAGCGGAAACCCTGTGAGCACATTGGTGCATGTCTGATATGAAGGCAATGAAGAGAGCTCTCTCTGCAAAAAGAGATTGTAGTGATTTTTAAAATTTAATTTGCATTAAGGTCATGGTGATAGAAACCCATGAGTGTTAAGCATTTTAAACTCCCTTTTCAGAATATAATAGAGTCTTATTTTTTTATGTATAAAAATTTTAATGAGGGTTCAGCCCTCCAGCATTGTATAACTTTCACATGTACTGAGCTATCCATATGCAGTTCCTAGAGGTAACCAACCTAGCAAATTACAATCAAATTCATGAAAGTATACCATGCCACATTTCTTCTCTTTCCTTTCTTCCCTTGGTAAAAATAAATAATTGAACAATTTTATTCAGAAACCTATTTGAAAATTTACTCTGTTCTGGTTGTATAGTTTTTATGGATATCATGAGATTTTAAAAGTACTGGTCTATGTAGTCACTTAGTAAAATATCTGTAGTTTAATAAATTTAAGCATTAAAGATGATTGTTTGAGCCATCAAAAATGTTGGTTTCATTAGCCTTTAGCACCACCCACCCTTTTCCCTTCCTCCATTATAATTACTACATTTTATGGTGAGAAACAAATCCAAAGAGACCAGTAAGATTTAGTCATCTGTCACGAGATGCATATAAATTTCTAGTCCTGCTGTCAATCTGAGGAAAGTTTGAATAAAGCAGCCACAAGTATTTGCTCATGTATATGCATTAGTCTTGTGTATTAGTAATTTATACACATCCTATCTCTATGTAATATGCATAGAAGTTTAAAATCATTCAGTGCCCTTTAATTTATGTGAATGAGTCTGCCCTTTCATTGAGATCACTGTCACAATCAAAAGGTCACGTAAAAGGGGCTCTTAAATTTTAATTTTGATTCTATCATGAATGTATAATGTGCAGGATATTTACTGTGCAATTTTAATGTCCATATCTGTTTAAAGTCATTCATCAGAAAATATTATCATGGTCCTTAGTTTAAATAAATAAAAATAAATCAAATAAATCACTGTAGTGTAAACATTTAATCCTAGAGACATTGGTAGATCCTAAGTTAGAGCATGAAAAATATTCCACCGATCGGTAATGAAGGATCTAGTCACTCTTATCAATGGGAACACCAGCTGTACTTGTACATACCATGGATTATAAAAAGGGGTGTACTTAGGTCTGTAAGACTTAGATAAGGCTGAGTTTAAGCAAGTTAAAACTGAAATCAAGTCTAATTTCAGTTTTTCATCAAATACTCTATCTGGAAGCTTTTAGGTGTTTATGAACATTCCATGTTCAGTTTTATGTCGTGTTACTTTCATGGGATTTAGAAGATGCTTGAAACATGGAGAAATGTTGAAAGGTTTGATTAAGATGCTGGGGCCCTTACCTCTACATCTGGGCTGTCCACTGAGAACTCATGCCAGCTGGCTTTAGCTGTCAAAACACCGACATCCCAACAATAGCTCTAGAGCCAAGGCACAACCCGTTCAGATTTTTGTATCTGTAAAAGCAATATGTTTCAGAAACCCAGAAAAAGCTGAAATAAAATAGCGATTTCAGAAACAGGGTGGCAAATTGACTATAACCGTGTAGTACTAAAACCAAGGAAGAAGTACACCTTTAGATATTGGGAGGAAGTAATCCTTGTCGACCCTCCCCACCCTCCATCTTATTTTTAATAAGGTCTGTCTAAATAGTCTTGGTACGTTGCTTTAATGTTTCCCCTTTTTAACCTAACCAATTATTTTTTAATTTTTCATGATTAAATTTAACAGGCTAAAAACAGAGTCATCTAGTTTGCTGCAATAATTCTCAGTGGGGTGGTAGGAGGATATTAAAAAGTACTAAGGGTTTGCTAGTGTTATGTTCAGTATTGTAATATAAGTATATTTAGAAAAAATTTGAACCTTTTCTCATGTTATAAATTATAGAAAGTAAAATGCAACACAAAAATCTTCTTGGGAGGTAGAGATACAAGGGTCTTCTAAGTATCAGTGATGATCAAACGAGGTGGAGGGAGAGGTGTGAAGCTGGGAAACCCCCTCTGCAGGGGTGTAGCAGAGTTTGTGTTATTTTTTAAATGCTTATTAAAAGGGGGTGTGTGGTAATACGTCAAGAAAAATTGGGGATGTTGCAAAGAGAACCAGGACTCAGGAGCCTGGAGTCTCAATTCTGTCTCCATGTGCTACCTGTTGTACTGCTTTATGGCTCAGTTTCTCCATGTCTAATATGGGGGATAAGCCCATCTACTAAGTGGCATGCTTGAGTTGAACACAATGTAATAATTTAATGAAGCACCTATCACTCTTTAGAATAAAGGTGCCCCGTGAATGAAGAACATTTCATCACTAGAGCAACTCCAGGTGGCGACACAAAGCAGGCACCATATGAGTGAGGGCAGAGAATTAACCAACTCCAGAGCAAATTCTCACACAGTCGGTCCTCGATTTTCACGGGTGTGGAACCCACGGATATAGAGAGTCGACTGTACTACACCAGTTTACATAAGGGACTTGAGCATCTGCAGATTTGGGTATCCGTGGGGGCCCTGGAACCAATGCCCTGATACTGAGGGACGACTGTGTATTATTAGTGAGTAAAGTTAATGGTTAGTTCCATTTTATGTTTTTCCTCAACCCTTCTGAGATATCTAGCTAAGTGTTTTTGGTGATATACCCAAACTTGATGTTAGTATCAAAGTGGAAGACAGTGAGGGTGATACAGATGGGGTACTTTTCAAAACACCACTGCCGTGCACATGTCAGGGGTTAAAAACCCTTCTCTCTGAGCAACAGACTGGGGTACCTAAGGAAGTTAGAGCATCTCCCTAGACATAAGATATTTCTTGGAACCTCCATCTGTCAGTGTTATTGCTTTGCCAGTTTTCTTTCTGATTCATTCCCGCTTTCCAAGGTAAAAGGTAGAGTGAAAGGGAGCCTCATCCTCCAAAACGAGGGATGCACTTCTGAGGGGTGGTAAATCCCAGAGCTTCCCCGAGGAACCTGTTGCGCTTGGTCTCTCTCATTAATAGGGCCAGCTCATGGCAGGAGTTAGGTAGGCTTCAGTGCACCATCTAAGGTAACGTCATGATTATATGACTGGTCATATCCCATTTAATGATGTTGTCTTTGGTTCAGAGACCATCACCAATGGAACAAGGTAGGCGTGTGGAACTAGTGGTCTTTTATTTAGTATTCCACATCTGTGCTTGGGGCTATCCTCAATGCCGCTGGTTTCTTGAAAAACATTTCTAACTCTCTGGCTGTCCGTACCCCTGGAAGTTCCTAAGAAAGTTTTCCAGGAGCTGCAACGTGTCGGTAATTCTAAACTGCCGGTAGAGACAATCATGTGCTTAGGGTGGATGATAGATCTGAAGGGACAGATTGCTCCATTGATTCAGAGCTAAAAACTGGCACTGACTTCTGCTCCTCTAGAGCATATTATCCAGAAGGGTGCCAGACAAGAGGTTATGAGGGAGAAGACTGATGGCATATTGCTAAACATCAACAAAGCGGAAGGTCTATAGAAGGTGCAGCATTACAGCTTTGAATGTGGCACCTGCCTGCCTTCTTGCATACACACGGATGTTTCACGCACCCTCTGCTTAACAAGAGAGGACAGATGTCCTCCATAGAACACAGTGCTTCTGAGTAGCACATTTATATACCTATATATGTGACTTCAAAAATGAGGCCACTACAGTAATAATACCTAATATTTAGTGAGCAGAAAATATGTGGGTATATGACAGGCATGAAGTCAGTGCTTTTTAATCATCTCATTTAATCCACACATAACTCAATGAGTTTGATATTTGGCCTCACTTAATCAATGAGGAAACTCAGGCTCTTTGAGATTAAATGCTTTGTCCAACATCACTGAGAAAATAAAATGAGGAACTGGGATTGGAACCAGTGCTGTAGGATAGCCCCAGCAGGTCGTGCTGAAGTGTTTGAAGCCACGCAGTAAGATTGCAGAATGTAACTCACAGTGACAGGTAGAGCAGCTCTTGGAACAAAAGTGCCCATGGCCCTTAAGGAAGGATTTCGGTAGCTTTGCCACCAGCAAAGCATTATTTAGATAGGTAGGGTTAGTGCTTTGAAAGGCTCTTGCCAGGCTAACACTATACAAAGAGAAATCACTGAGGGACTGGAAGCTGAGGCACGTGGTTTGTCCACATCACGGGTCAGTTGTTGATCTGAGACTAGAAGCACCTTATTTTCCCCACTGATCAAACTCTTCCTTTGTCTTTGGCTACAGATGCCCATGCCCAATAGGATGGTCTGAACTCTGTTTTTGCAGTGTGTTGATTAAAGTGTTGTGAGGCAGAAAATGAGAACCTTACCAAAATTAAGATACATTATACTCATTGCTTCCTTGCCATCTCTCAGGCTTTTCACGGTCTTGGAGGGAGAATGGTTTACTATGACAGGAGTCGTTCTTTTATGATCATCTGTGCTCTCAAAGTGTTTGTAAATTAATTTGCTGATGATCTTTCTTTAATGTACTGCCTGTGGGCCGTGCACCAAATGAAATCACTTTTGTACAATAATAGGATTTCAGTTGTCTGGAGGCAGAAGCAGGAGAATAAGGGAGAGCATTTGAGCAATCATTTGTAATTACATTTGAAACGTTTATTTAAAGAAATATGTATAAATTGTACTGTCAGAACTCTAATGACAGGGATGGCCATTGTGTTCTGTGACTCTTAACCTGCTGTATTGAAGTTTTAGACTAGGAAATACATTGAAGCATTGAGGCTGACACAGATATTTTATGTGCCCAGAGGTTAGAACATTAAAAACAATTTGAATATTCAAGCCAGCATTAGCTATTTTACTTTTAGAGATAAATTTAGGCTCAACCTCATTCGTTTTATAATTTATATACTGTTCTCGGAGCTCAGGACATGGGCTATGAAGACATAAGATCATTTTACTTTTCCTTGTCTATTTCATCAGCTTTATTTGAATAACAGGCTGGGTTGAGTTGGGCTTTTTCATTATGGGAGAATTATATAAATAGATTTACATATGTTTATTGGATCATACAGGCAAACATTTGGAACTTCAGACTAACTTTAATTAATTCTCTAAATAACTATCTGGATATTTTAAAAACAGTTACATTTCCTTCACTCCAAATGTATGACCAGTGACAATATATCCAGAAACATTTTTCTGGAGCTTTTATAGTACTTGTGCTATTTTCAACTTGACCATTTGAAATATTCTTTTGCAGTCTTTTAACTCTCTAATTATAATTGAATATCTGTGGGAGGCAGAGCGGTGGAAAGAATCGTAGGGCCAGAGCTAGGAGGCCAGGCTGGGATTTGCTTCTGGGATAGATCTGTGCTTATTGGCACTAATAAGAGCTAGGGTTTGATTGAGTGCTTACTATATGCTGGGCGTAATGCCAGTCACTTTCCATGAATTATGTCAGTGATCCTTTGAGACAGTATTATTTCTATCCCCACTTTACAAATGAAATATGTAAAGAGTTTATGTCATTTTCTCAAAGTCACACAGCTAAGAAGTGGTAGAGCTGGGCCACTTGCATCTGACTTCAAAACCCAAACTCTTAGCCACACACCAAATTGGAAATCATTGAACCCTTCTGGGCCTCAGTTTCCTCATCTGTAAATCTTGTAGGCTGAACCATGTGATCAATAAATAGTTTCCAGCTCTGAATTTTTTGAGTTCTCATCCAGCCGGGAAAATAGATGTAGGAACTTATGTTTGCCATATATTTTAGCCTCAAAGTGGCTAAAAGCATCCTCCCAAATTTGATGCTGAAAACATTGCAAGTAGCTAAACAGCATGCAAGGAAGTAATTGTCAAACAGATAGCAGCTGTGAAAACTTTTCAGCATTTCAACAACCCATGGGGGTGTTTCTTAAGAGCAATAAACTAAGTGGCTAAGCGTGTTGCCCATGGAGCTGAGACACAAATCTAGAGCCCTGAGAAATTACTGTGTTTCCAGGGTCTAATACATTCTCTATCTTAGGATAACTGCCTGAATACAGCAGACAGAATCTTTATGAACCTTGGAGCCATTGGTATAATTTTTTGGTCTTGATGTTAAATAAAAAATATTTTAGTAGGTCATCAGTTGGTTTATTTGATATTTGGTTCTCCAAGCTGCCACCTGCCCTCCCTTGTGTCATTCATTAAAAAGTTTTTAATTGGTCATAAATGCTGTAGACATTGTGTTACTTTATAAAATAAAATGAATATACCTATACACCTCCAAATATATATATGAATATATATACACATATCTATTTCCAAATCTTTCCTCATACTTTCCTGCACTACAGTAATTCACTGAGCCTTGTTAAAAAGAAAAAAATATCAGTGACCTGTCCAGCTATAATGCTAATAGCCGTCAGTCGTTGATACTTCTTAATGTGAACCCAGGAATTTATGTTGAAAAGTGACTTGATTCTTTCTTCTCTATTAGTTAAAGTGGAGTCTGTCTTTGCTCATAAAGCTAAAACATCTAAGCCAATGTAGCCAATGTCACAATAACAACAATGACAAAAATCCATCAAGCCGATTGCTTGGCATTCTCGTGATTAAGCAATCAGTTGATTGGCTGAATGTTCTGTTTTTCAAATTGCTGTTGTAGTGCTTCTACTGTATTTGCCTAATGCTATGACATAGAGACTCTCAGACCTGCCTTATGAGCATCACCTGGAAATTTGTGAGAAATAGAAATTCTCTGCTCCTAGCCCAGATCTACTGAATTAAAAACTCTGGGGGTGGGACAAATAGCAGTTTGTGTTTTTAGGAGAGATGATTCTGGAGAGATGATTCTAATGTTCACTAACTTTTGAGAACCATGGTGGCATCCACTAGTTAAGCAGTTTAAAAAGAAATCAGTCACAATAATTAATTGTCATCACAGAACAACCCAAAGCTTCACCTAATTATTTGATTCAATCCTTTAAAAATCCACCTAAGAAAATAATTACTAAAGAACAACCCCTGAGAAAACTGGGTTCAGTGATGCTTCCTTTGTTTTCATTATAAACAATTTTGTTTTCCTTTTTTCTAACTTCTGAAATCTGTGAAAACGCCGTATAAACTGAAATATGCTTACTGCATTCAGAAATTGTATCCTGACTTTGTTCCAATTGTGAACGATTATTACACATTTGTCTCTTTTTAGGTCAGACACACCAGTGGTTTAACATTCTTATTTCCCTTACAAAACATGCCAACTCTAATTTAAGGCTCTCTTGGGTTTATAATCCACAGTGGTGCCAATGAAAAATTGGAAAGCTTTAGGTGTGATTTTTTGTAGCTTTTCCTACTTGTTAAGGAAAACCACCCAGCTACAAAAAGCTGCAGGAAATGTTATACAGATGCCACCAAATGGAGGAAAAACTTAGAAGAGGCATGTTCTTAAAGAGCACATTTTTAATATTTAAAACATGTAAGATGTTAGAGGAAAACATCAAATGTCTTGACTATGAACTTATTTAACCAACACATTAATAAACTACTCATTTTGTGAATCCAATGGTGTCAGCACCTAAAAATATTCCAGGGTGTGTTTAAAGGTAAAATTGTTGATGCTTAAGTATAAACTTTTTCTCTGATCTGGTCCACTGAGGTTGAATGAGTACTGAACAGGACACAATTTGTAGTATTTTAAATTCATTCAAGGCTTTCACTAGGAAGCTCCTTATGTATCTTCAGCTTTCAAGGCTGTACTTGCCTCTCTTCCGTGATATCAGCACCACCTAGCGTACATACTAAAAACTCCCTTTAAACCAAACCATCTCTTTCTGAAAATCTGCCTTCAGAACACTGTCCTTTTTTAAACAAGTCAGAATTCTCAACAATAGTACGCTAAAGGAGAGAACAAAATTTTCACTTTCAGAAATTATATACCAAGGTCAAGTTTTCAAGTCAGTGTGCTATTTAAACTTTTATTTACTTATGATTTACCTCTGTTAAGCCAGGTGTTATGAGGATGGTTATACCATGACCATATCATAGGGTTTGTCTATAGACATGCAGTTATTTTTTTAAAGTGTAATGGGGTCACCAACCATTTTACACAAATTTGGTTAACCTAGCAACATTAAATTCCTTCTGTAAATGAGGCAGTTTTACTAAAAGAATGATGAAAGGTGACATCTCTTTCCATTGCATTTTGTGCATCAACTTCAAATGTGGGTATGTTTTGACATTAAATGGCATGAAATTAAACAGAGGATTGGTAAGTATGTACTTTATTTCAGAGGGGCTGCATAAGGAAATAAATATAATTCTCCAACCTAGAACATCTAATTTGGGTCTGAATAGTGGCATGTGCCTGCAAACAGGCTTCTCAGCAACAGGAAAATTGCCACTGACTGCTTCACTGTGTTGCTCAGTAAATGAAGAGAGAATATTAATTTCTGGGGTCACCAGTTTCTTTTCACAAGTAAAACTTATGTTATAAAATGCTCTTTTGCTACAGTAATATCTGATTTTTCTCCAATTTATTTTCTATAGCTTATCCAACAAAAGTATTAACACATACGTTAACAACGTCGAAAGTAGCCTACTTTAAGAGAAAATATGCAGAAGAAGAAGATTTACATCAAGATTACCATGGGTATTTTCCAAAAGTAAGGGCTTATTTGTTATTTTTTTTAAAAATTTTATGAGTCTTGTCGATAACAAAGGCTCTTGTTCTCATTTTTCTAAAATGTAGATTGAATGATGTATTTGCTTTCCAGCACCTGATACTGCCTGAGGACAGGACTTGCATTCTCAAACTTTCTCTAGAGAAGCTCAGATTTCTTGAAGACCCAGAAACCTACTTAAGAAGGTCTGTGTTAATTAACAATTTGCTGAGGAAGATCCATCTAGAGACGGAGAAAGAGAGCTATGAATACTTTAAAGAAGCTCCCTGTTATAAGACTGCTTATTCTGATACAAGAAAACGGCTGAAGTTTATGGTACAGGAATGCTGTTCTCAGTCTCTCTATTATGAAGAGCTGCATTCGTATCATATTGTGCCTTATGCTTCGGAGAATGCCATTTATGGAATGGGCTACACTAGCAGCCACTTGGAGCAAAATTCTCAGTTGCTTATTTATAAAATGAATTAAAGTAACTGTTAAAGTCCATTGATACCTTGTTTCTAAATGCCTGAACTGTTTATAGTGAAGATGTTAACATAAGGCACTAATTATCAGTGCCCTTGAGATCAAAGATGAGATGCATGCTGAACTGATTGGAGAGAACCCTGGTTATTATTCAGCAGTCCTTACTATCAGCCAGCCAAATTGAAAATATGTCCACATATTATAAAGCGGAGAATAAGTGCTTTAGAAGCAAAGTTTGTTTGTTTTTTTTTTTAAGATAAGGTGTGTAGGAAGGGACCTATATTAAGTTCTTACACAGATTTAAACATTTCAAGCCCCCTATTTCCAAATTCTACTACTCTTAATGGAAAGTAACAAAAAGTAACAGATTCAGATTAAACAAATAATGTCTTGTCCCTGAGGATTAAATGTGGAACGAATTAAATTTTCTGTAAATGATGAGAGGAAGGGTAGATCCTTTCTGAAATGCTTTGGCTTGTCAAGCATTGTGCCAAGTAATTGACACCATTCTCCTTTTACCATTAGTGGCAATTCAAGATGTGGCAAACCTACTGCAATTTAACTGCTGAATGTAACAACCAGAACACTCCACATCGATCCATTTTACATTATTATTATTTTTTTTGACTTCATAGAGTTTTCTCTTTCAAAGTGAAATTTAATAAAATAGCCTTGCAGATGGGCTTTTGTCTAAGTTCTAGGGGTCAGTTAAAATTTGTGGTGGGCTTTTAGTTGAGTTTAAATTTATTTATGATGTCATTTTTATAGGCTGTGAAGCTCAGGAAAAGGGTAGGCAGGTAATATTTGATTTTAATAGGCAGGTAATTTAAAAAATCTTACCTGCAAAAACTGGTGAGAACAACAAAAATTCTACATGATGTTATTTCTTCATCTAAGAGTTCATTTAAGGCTGTCTGGATGAAACTTTGCACTGATTTTTGTATAATAGTCGACCATTCACTATTTGACAAAATGTTTCAGAATGCCTTTGGTGGTGAAGTTTAGATAAGTTCCTATGTTTTGCAATTTGAAAGGTAATTATTTAACAAGTTTCATAGATTCCTGAAATTGTTTGAAATGGTTCGTGATGTTCTCTGAGGTTTGAGTGAGATGTCTGATTTCAATGTCCAGACTTACATTCCATGGCGCAAACGTCATTTAAAGAATTGTCATTAACTGATAACACAGATTGGAAAACTAGGTGCCAAAGCTATATTCAAGAAAATACCAAAGACCCAAAGATGAGTGTTAGAGAGACTATGATAATGAAGATAAGAATCTAAAATAAGGATTGTACAGGGCATAGAAGAACAGGGTTAAAGAGATTTGGAACGATTTGCTTACTAACGTGCTTTCAGAGCACTTTATACATACATAATAACGATAGTCAAGGGCACGGCTTGGGCCTTCAGTGATCATATGTTTTTGCAAATCTAAATATGGTGACTTGTCAACATTGTATCTTCCCTCATTGGATGCCATCTTGTAAACAAGAAGGCCTTTATCTCTTAAAGAGAATTTTGTTTTTAGTTTTGATTCACTACTTGCTCCCTCTAATGAATCATCGGGGTGATTAACATGGATGCTTTCGGTATAAAGAATATTGGTGCCCTAATTAGCATGCATTGTTAAAGACCACATAGATATATAATTGATAAAAGTATTGGGTTTCTATTTAATTGCTCAATCAGAATTAGGAAAAAATGCTTTAGAACAAATTGGAAAATTATAATTGAAGGTAATTTTTTTTATATACATTTATTTATTTTTATTTTTGGCTGCGTTGAGTCTTTGTTGGTGCACGCGGGCTTTCTCTAGTTGCGGGGAGTGGGGACTATTCTTCGTTGCGGTGCGCAGGCTTCTCATTGCGGTGGCTTCTCTTGTTGCGGAGCACGGGTTCTAGGCACGTGGGCTTCGGTAGTTGTAGCTCGCGGGCTGTAGAGCGCAGGCTCAGTAGTTGTGGCGCACGGGCTTAGCTGCTCCGCGGCATGTGGGATCTTCCTGGACCAGGGCTCGAACCCGTATCCCCTGTATTGGCAGGCGGATTCTTAACCACTGCGCCACCAGGGAAGTCGAGACTAGTTTTTAAGACAATTTAGTGTGAATGGTGAGACAGCTTTGCCGTACAAATATAAATATTTTAAAAATAATTTAAGGGCAAAATTTGTCACCTAAGTTCAAAAACTTTATTTCACTGCTTATACCACACCTTATTCCTCAGAATGTGTTTATTAAAATGTAGATTTCTTAAACAATGGGAATATTAATTGAATATACTCCGAATTTGATAGGATAATTATTATGTACTTTGAAGGATAGAATTAGCTCTCTAATAGTTTAAAACTTTTTACCAAAAGGAACGTTTGGCTTCGTTTAGGACAGTGTCTACAAGAAAACATGCCCGTGCTAAGAGGTATGACTTACAAATATGCCACATATTGAAATTGTTTGAGGACAGAAATGTGTATACTTTGGGAGAGAAAAGAGAAGGAGAGAAAAAGTTTCCAAGAAAGTGTAAAATTGTAATATTTACTGTAGTCAGAAATGTTAAAGCAGGAACTCTTGGACAATGAACCCATAACAGACATAAAGTCTGTTTTATTTGGTGACGTCATTAACTGAACTCTCTGAATCTTACATTCATATGTAGAGAAGGAACTGTCTTAGAAACCAGTGGTATTTGTGAATATGCTTTTTTTTTTTTAAGAAATATGTGTTGATTTCAAAACAGGTTATTTAGAAAATATCTTTTAGAACATTTCATTTCTTTTCCAATAAACAATTCATAGACAAGGAGTTGACTAATGTCATCTTGACTTATTAAAAAAATACTAATTTGTATTTAAACTGTGTTAACTTGTCTGAGTTAACCAATAAGATTACTGTCATTTTACCATGGCAACCTGATATACAGGGAGACCCTATTCAGACCTGCTCTGCTGACGCCATCCTGCATGATCTATTATGGGAGATGCAAAGGTAAGAGAACAGTGACAACTTTTTTAGAACCTTGACATCCTTTCTTTGGTGACAAGAGCCATGCTTAATGTAAGAAAGATAGAATAGGAAATCTGAGTGCCTTTGGTAATGTTGATCAATCTTCTGGGTGCCCAGACAGCCTAAAGACCTGATAAAGAATAAGAAAATGAAACAGAGAGGAAAAATGAGGGTAAAAGGAAGAAAACAGGAGGGGATAGGGAAATAAGGAACAGAATTAGTAAGTGAAAGCAAAAGTTGTTTCCTGTCGGGGGTGGGTGGTTGCTTGCTGTACTCAATTGTTCTTTCCTGTGTCTGCTGTAGATCCCAAATCCAAATTTCCACAATGTATTGATGTTTTCTTACGTTCACCAAGGATGCATAAGACTAGATTCTATTCAGCATATGTATTATTTGAAATGTGGTACTACCGTGAAATATCCCTGAAATGGAACTTCTTGGGTGGAGGAGAAAAGAAAAAATAGAAATTAAGTTGGAAGAAAAACTAAATTGTGAGCCTGTGTACATGTGGTTAAGCTCAAAACACATGATCAGATTTCAGCGTACATCCCAAGATTTAATAAACTCAGTGCTAGAGGACTTGGAAATAAGTGCCATTCCCCACTGTTTATTGAGCAACTGCTATGAGCCGGGCACTGTGCCAGGGTTGGGGATACAGAGCTGAATGATGCACAGTTCTTTTGTCCAAGCAGTTCATTGATAAGGGAGGAACTTGGAGATGTTTGGGGGTTTTTTTAATGTAAGAATTCTTTACTGGGAGTAGCACCTGAATTTCTCTCTTCCAAACTGTGTGATGGTTATCAGACGTGTATCTCCAAAGGTGTTTGCAGCTAAGAAGATGCACAGGGGAAGAGAATGTCTACTGACCTAGATTTTAGAGCAGAAGGAGAGTACATTCTGCTTTGCAGTGTATTTTATATTTGGAAGCATGATGGAAAACCAGTGCTGCAGAAGGGAAGTGTCACTGGCCTTAGCTTCACCTGGGGCATAGGAGGAGGTAGGGAGACAAGTGCAAGTACAGAACAATTTCTCCTCCCCAACCTCTCTAGCTGTGAGGTTCTTTTACAGGGCAAATCAGGTTAGTATCAATGTCAAGGAGATCCTTGAAGGAGAAGCAAAATCAGGAGATCACAGCCTGAGAGTTGAATATAGTGTGCTCAAGGTTAGAAGGGCAACTTCCTTTAATTTGCCTTGTGTTGCTGAATTGCTAAAATGAACCTCTGGATTTCTTAACATCAGCTACTGGCGCCATGCTCCTTCTCTCCACTGGCTTCCTCTCTGAATCACAGCCCCTGTCTTTGCAGTTTGCTGAAAGTGGAGGTTATGGTTCTAATTCTTTATTGCCTTTCCTTTCTTCCGTCATTGATATTGATTTGCTCAAAAATATTGTACCTGGAAAAAAGCAACAATTTGCAGTACTGGTTGAACTCCCTTGGGAAAGGTTTCCAGAGTGTATCAAACTAGAATTCATCTCAGTTTCTTGATACAATTCTTTTAAAAACTACTCTACATCGTCATTAAATAATTATCTACTAAGGTAATCTTTATGTTTCTAGAGTTCAGTGAAAGGTTATCAGTTCTACATGTTTTGCTAAAGAAAATACCTTAGGCTGGAAACAATGGAAGATCATGTGTAATTAATTCAAGCAGTTCATGAGTATTTATATAATATTTGGAATTTAAATTTATGTTCTTTTTTCCCATTCTCAAACTTCATTACTGTACATCAGCAGTGTGACATGTCTCCGAATTTTTATTTCCTTATTAAATGATCATTTCTGAAAGTTGTTACATTCATGGTTGAACCCTTTGGATGATATTTCCCTATTAAGTTTCTAACTTTCCACA